ACAAATCATTTTCGGGCTTTGTGGAGGCAACCCACAAGTAGAAATTGCACGGCATACTAACTGCTACCAATCATATAGAACATAGAGAGGAGAGAGAGAGAACCTGGGATGCTTGTGACTAGCTTGTGGTTTCGAAGACGAGACAACGAGAGAGGCGACTGGCGAGAGTCTCTGAGACTCAAAGAGGAAGAGGCGCTAAGGTTCGATCGACTGAGAGAAGCAACAACTGAAGATGAAGATGAATGATGAAGAGGCGCGGGCTTGCAAACTCAGATCACCATTTGCATGTGTGAGAGAGAGAGAGAGAGGAACGACGTTGATTGAGGAAGATGAGTAATTTATGCCTAGGGTTTTAATTGAGAGTTTATATATATGTCCACCGTCTAATACGTATTGTCCATTCCTGGTCCAAACGGGTTGAGTTTAGACGAATACTTGTTTTTGTCCGGTCCACNATATATGTCCACCGTCTAATACGTATTGTCCATTCCTGGTCCAAACGGGTTGAGTTTAGACGAATACTTGTTTTTGTCCGGTCCACCGCCATCCCTAATGGTGAACAGTTAATCATAATGACAATAACAATTAGTGAAAATCGATAGACAAGAGATTTATAGTTGTTCGCCAGTTCCAAAAACTTGACTAGTCCACTCTAATGAAGTTTTTTGCTCTTGAGAGAATACTATTATTTGGGGAAGAAGATTACAAGTTTTTCGAAAAAGTGAACTCTTAGGCATATCCTACAAAATGCGGGATTGATCCCTATTTCTTTTTGCATATCGGTTGTGATCCATGCGCCTTCATCGTTTTCCCCTTGGGGTCATTGTGACCCATAAGGCGGGATCTTTGGCTGATAGAAGCTATAATCCCGAGATTAGACGTGGCCTTCTAGAGAGTGTAAGCCGGTGCTGTCATAGTGTGCATGAGGGTTACGTCGACAAATGATTATCGACCTGGAAGACCTGAGTGGGATTTGAACTCGAAGATCGAATTGAGGTTTGAGATGTCCGAGTTGGAATGCCCAAGTCTGCCGTGGTCATGTGGGGCCCCTATTGGGGACAAGATCCCATCTACTTCTGGTCCAAGCTTAGACATAACTAATTTTTGGTATCATTAATGCTATTCTGTCATATAGATTGTAGTTGAACCTGTGTCACATAATTCGTCGATATCGACCTGTGCTCTATCGCTCTGAGCGCAAATTCACGCTTTGGGAGCGAATTCATATTCAAGTTATCGAATTTGCGGATTTAAATTTACGAATTTGTAAATTTGACTAAGCAAATCCGCGTGTTTGATTAATGAATTCAACGAATTGGACTAACCAAAACCGCACATTAAGATTATGGAATCAGCGGATTTGTTTCAAATTCTAGATAAAATGCTTGACATAGAATCCATTCAGAAAAGTCCCCAATTTTTGCAACAGAATCGAACAAAGATGGTAGTATCATCCAGAAAACTAGGAAAAAACCAAAGAAAAATGAGATTGATGGGAATAAAGCAAAAAAATTGCACACCCAATTCAACACTAAAACACAGAAACCCACTTGCAATCGTTCAATCATTCAACCTCAAAATCACACCCTTTTTGCAATTACACAAACAAAAGATGAAATTGAGAGAATCTCTAAGACATATCAGTAAAATCGTGCAAAGAATCACAATGAACAGAGGCTCACTTTTCCTTCTTCGTGTTCACCTTCGTCGTCTTCGACTTCGTTTTCTTGAAGCATTCATGTAAAAGGCAGAGAAGCCCAACGCTTTCCTCCAACGATCGACACAACGAGGACCACTTTTCATCTCTGAGGCTGTTGTTGCTTCTTCCTCTCTCTCTCTCACCGAAAAGTGAAAAATGAAGGTGTTCTGGGTAAACACCAGTCCCTCAAACCCTGACTAGAAAATGTCAAAAAGAAAAAAATTTTAATTTTTTTTGTTTGATTAGTCTAAAAAAGAAAAGGATAGGAAAAATATTTTTTTTAATGTTTAAATTTTTTCATAAATAAACATTTTTTTTAAAAACATAAATAAATACAAGAAAGTTGTGATCGATAATTATTTTCTCATTTTATCCTTATTTTTCTTAAAAAAAATTTTTAGTTATTAATTTAAAAATTTTTTAATATGAATTTGATTAATCATATAATTTGGTTCAAAGACTTAGAATTAGGTTTCGAGTAACTTTTTAAATTTTTTTTTAATTTTCAATTATAATTACATATTTTTTCCTCTTTAAACCGATTTAATATAATAAAAGATAATTTAGACAGTTATAAAAAAATTCTTATAACTTTAATTTCTTTCAAACAATAGAATGAAAATTTTTTACAACTTTCTTGTAAAATTTTCATTCTAACCAAATTTGAGCATAAAAATATATTTTATATTATTTTCTTTTCTTTCACTTCACTTTTTATCATTTTCATTTTTCATTATTTTTTTCTTCATAACCAAAAGAACCCTTAGTCCACTTTTATGTTTTTTGGTAAAATTATTTTAATTAATTTGAATGTTAAATTAATTTTTGAAATGTCTTGACGTTGAGGCTCTCTTCACAGTTTCTTTTTTTTTTTTTGAACTAAGATTTTTCTTTATTCATTTACAATATATTTGTATATAATATTTAATTTTTTAAAAAAATATGGCGCTCTCAAATATTTTTGAATTTTGTCATTTTTCGGCTCTCGCTCTCGTTTACGCTTATCTATTTTCTTGCATTGCTCACCGAATGATTTTTCCTTTCATAAAAAGAATTAGATATTTTATCCACAAGTGGAATTTATCTACTCGACTTCCTCCTTATTTTCTTATTCACTTGTAAGTTTATTGTAGGATGATAACATTATGTGACAATAGAGATATAGTGTTACCGTTACACCTAATATTTTCTCGCATTCTACCATACCCCCATATCTCTAACATAGCTTCACATACGTTGAGATGCTTTTGATGAAATTTTGCACACCGCCATAATCTATAATGATCTTAGTAAACACACGATGACATATTAACAAATGTCGATATTGTTACGCTGATCACCGGAATTAGACTTCTCAGATGATATTTTATATTTACATTCCCACTTAGAAAGAATGGCAAAAAATTAAGGGTTATATTTTTCCTTTCACATGGTGGGGGATGGAAGAGGGGAGAGAAAAAAGAAAGCAAGACAAACAAAGATAAATATTTGTATGTTCATTTATGTATATATATACTGATGATCCCAAATTCAGTTGGGTCCAAGCTCAATTAATAAGATAAGTCCAAATCAACTAAAAAATAGGTTAAGATTAGCTCAGGGATCCGACCCAGTCCAAAGTTCAAGGGGTTTAAGAAGATTAACGCACGTGAGGAGTAATTACCGGAATAACCATTCTTTAAAATCAAGACTATCTCTGATTGTACCAATTCTTAGCTATAACTATCCACTCCGAAGGACTAGTCACCTATCCTTTCATGCCACCATCTCAACCAAGATTCTATATCTATAAATTGTAANTGATTGTACCAATTCTTAGCTATAACTATCCACTCCGAAGGACTAGTCACCTATCATTTCATGCCACCATCTCAACCAAGATTCTATATCTATAAATTGTAAGCTCTCTCTACATGAGAGGATATCTCTTTATACACCCCTCGCATAGTTATTTCTCTTTCCTAACTACCATATCTCTCCCGGACCTCACATTTGCTCTCTCTCTCTCTCTCTCATCTTACTTTATTAATAAATGTTCTCTGGCTATCATTGCCGTTTTCAGAGTGAAGTAGATCTCCTTGACCAAACCACTTGATCTGATATTTGTCTTTTATTATTAATTACTTATTNCTTTCATGCCACCATCTCAACCAAGATTCTATATCTATAAATTGTAAACTCTCTCTACATGAGAGGATATCTCTTTATACACCCCTCGCATAGTTATTTCTCTTTCTTAACTACCATATCTCTCCCGGATCTCACATTTGCTCTCTCTCTCTCTCTCTCTCTTATCTTACTTTATTAATAAATGTTCTCTGGCTATCATTGCCGTTTTCAGAGTGGAGTAAATCTCCTTGACCAAACCACTTGATCTGATATTTGTCTTTTATTATTAATTACTTATTGATTACCTCATTAATTGCCCTAAATCACATACTCGGCAGTTGATTGTATATACGCTTGTTCTGTGCATCATCATCTACTGATTGATATGAAATAACCCATATTTTTTTCAAAATAATATTATTCGTATACATATATTTATATATTCTAAAAATTATAAATATATTTTTTACTTGTGCCCACTTTATAATTTTTTTTATTATATTAAGGTTTTCTTTAGATGACCTTAATATTATTATTTATGAATTTTTGCAAGTGAAAATTCTTACAATTGATCATCATTTGGCTTTTATTTTTTTCTACGAGAACTCATACCTATTTTAATTCAAATGTCGATTATAGTGTTTATTATATGTTAGTCAATTTTAATTATTTACTATGTTTTGTTTTTAAATTTTAATTAAGTAATTTTTCTATACTAATATGTCAGTGATAATGCAAATGGGTGGAGGAGATAAATATGTGAGGTGAAGGGAGGGAGAAAGACATGTTTTTAGTATACCCAATACTTCAAACCTTAAATACATGGTATGAAGGGCATTGTTTTCTTTTAAACAACGACATTTTGGTGGGAAATATTATTTTTCTATGCCCAATCGTCCATTTAGCACATGGGGATCACGGTCTGTTTATTTGAATGAAAAAGGTAATGGAAGCAAGTAAGTGCAAAAGCATAAAGGAGTGAAGTGCCTATTATAAAAACATATGGGGGTAAAAGTGCAACTGCCCCAAATCATAAGGTGGTAAAAAGGAATTTGCCTTTTTTTTTAATGTGTGTAAGGTGGTTTTGCGAGACTGTTTGGGTTATTTCGTTCTTGTTTGTCAAAGTTTGAATGTGCTCTGTAAGTCATGTTTAATCGAGTCAAGTCCACAGCTCAAGTGGTCAAACTAGCTCATGGGTCTTCGCAGTGTTATCTTGAAAACCAGTAGTCTCCCAGCTGCACCTCTCTCACATCAATTTCACAATTCCTCAATCGTCCGAACAATCACCATGAGAATTTCAGTCTTCCCCTGGCTGTTCTTGATCGTCATACCATCGATGTTATGCATTAACTTAATTCCAGTACACAGCAAATGCGTGGAGGACCAGAGAACTTTGCTGCTCCAATTGAGAAATAGCTTCACATTCAATCCAGCAATTTCCACCAAGTTGGTGTACTGGAACGAAACCACAGATTGTTGTAAATGGAATGGTGTAAATTGTGACAAAGACGATCATGTTATTGGGCTTGACTTGAGCTATGAATCAATCTCTAGTGGAATTGACAATACCAGTAGTCTTTTCAGTCTTCAGTTTCTTCAAAGCCTGAATTTGGCTAACAATAACTTAAATCGCACACAAATTCCGCCAAGTTTAGACAGCCTCCACAGCTTGACCTATCTGAATCTGTCTAATGCTGGTTTTTCCGGGCAAATTCCACGATTTTCGCAACTTACAAGGTTGGTGACTCTAGATCTATCTACCTATTTCTTCGAAGAACTTCATCCGCTGAAACTTGGGACACCAAACTTAAGGATGTTCCTTCAGAATCTCACCGAGCTTATGGAACTTCATCTTGATGGTGTTAACATATCAGCGCATGGAAACGAGTGGTGTCAAGCCTTGTCTTCATCATTACCTAATTTGCGAGTCTTGAGCTTGTCAGATTGTTTTCTTTCAGGCCCTATTGATTCTTCCTTGTCAAAGCTTCAGTCTCTTTCTGAGATAATCCTGAGTCGGAACAATCTAGCTACTTCTGTTCCAGAATTCTTTGGAGAATTCGCGAATTTGACAGTCTTGCGTCTCATTTCTTGCAATTTGTACGGAAAATTTCCAACTAGTATATTCCAGGTACCAACTCTGCAAACCCTTGACTTGTATAACAACATATTGCTTCAGGGTTCTTTGCCAGAATTTCCCCAGAATGGATCTCTTCAGACACTGGTGCTTGGCTACACGAACTTTTCAGGGCCATTACCATATTCTATTGGTAACCTTGGGATGTTGTCCACGATAGAGCTACAGAGTTGCAGTTTCAGTGGACTAGTACCAAATTCAATGGCAAACCTTGCTCGGCTTCTTTATTTGGACTTGTCATCCAATATGTTTACTGGTACAATTCCATCGTTTCGGACGTCTAGGAATATGACCCACATAGACCTTTCTCGTAATGATTTAATGGGTCCTATCCCTTTCAGTCACTTCAAAGGCCTTCTCGATCTTGAATATATTGATCTGCGATTCAATTCGTTTAATGGTAGCATTCCATCGTCTTTGTTTGGTCTTCCATCATTGCAGAAACTTCTGCTTGCCAACAACCATTTTGATGGTCTACATGCTGATTTTTCTAATGCATCCGTGCCTCATTTGGATACACTCGATTTGAGTAGCAACAATTTAAGAGGACCTATTCCTTTTTCTATATTTGAACTCAGAAGGCTTAATGTCCTCCTCCTATCATCCAACAACTTGAATGGCAGTATACAGCTTGAAATGTTTCAAAGGTTCAGTGATCTCACTGTTCTTGATCTTTCGTATAACCAGTTATCAGTTGATGCAAATGGCAGTAATTCTAGCTTTTCTTCCTTCCCCCATATTGCTGCATTGAAATTGGCTTCTTGCAACCTCCAAAGTTTTCCTGACCTAAAGAACCAATCAAAATTGTTCTACTTAGACCTCTCAGACAACAAAATTGGTGGGAAAATTCCAAACTGGATCTGGGGAGTTGGTGATGGAGCTCTTGTTCACTTGAACCTTTCTTATAATCTCTTAGTGGGTCTGCAAGAACCTTTTGTTTTTCCTAGTCTTGGTATTCTTGACCTGCATGCGAACCACATCCGGGGGAAAATCCCAACACTGCCACAAGATATTACCTATGTGGATTACTCTAACAATAATTTCAACTGTTCAATTCCTCTTGACATTGGTAATAACCTCACTAGTGCTTATTTCTTTTCTGTTTCAAACAATAACCTCACTGGAAACATCCCTGAATCCATATGCAATGCCCGCTACATTCAAGTTCTTGATATGTCCAAAAACCGGTTGAGTGGCTCTATACCAAATTGTTTAACTGAAAAGGCAGAGACTCTTGGGGTACTGAATCTAGGGAAGAATAATCTCAGTGGCAATATTACTGGGACATTTCTTACTAATTGTGGTTTAAAAACTCTAGATCTGCATGAGAATTTTTTGGAAGGGGAGATTCCGAAGTCTGTTCAGAATTGCTCAATGTTAGAGGTATTAAACCTTGGGAGCAACCAGATAAAGGATACGTTTCCATGCTTTTTGAACAACTCTTCCAGTTTGCGTGTCCTTGTTTTGCGACGGAACATGTTCTATGGAGGTATTCACTGTCCAGGAGCCAATAACAGCTGGTCAAATCTTCAAATCATTGACACTTCTTCCAACTATTTTACTGGTGCTCTGCCCCAGGAATTCTTCTTAACTTTGAGGGCCATGATGAATGGTGTGGATGATGCTCAATCAGAGATCAGTCACCTGCGTTTTGAGTTCCTACGACTAAATCACTTCTACTATCAGGATACGGTAACGGTTACCAACAAAGGGCTGGAAATGGAGTTGGTGAAAATTCTCTCAGTGTTCACCTCCATTGATTTCTCAAACAACAACTTTGAAGGGAATATACCGGAAACAGTTGGAGATCTCAAATCACTTTATGTTCTCAACCTATCACGTAATGCTCTCACAGGCACAATCCCATCATCAATTGGAAACTTGACACAGCTTGGATCACTAGACCTCTCGGTGAACCAGCTAAGTGGGAAAATTCCCGTGGAGCTTACGAGACTTACCTTCCTTTCAGCCATGAACCTGTCATACAATCAACTGGTTGGGATAATCCCAAAAGGCACCCAATTTCAAACTTTTTCGAACACTTCCTTTGAGGGAAACAAAGGGTTAAGCGGGCCTCCATTGACCAGTGATGTTGAGGACAATCATTCATATCCCAAGACTGAGATTAACCCGAATTGGACAACTGGTGAATCCAACTGGCATTCTGCTACCAGGACTCGGATTAACTGGAATTGGATAGCAGCTGAATGTGGATTCACGATGGGCTTGGGATTTGTCGTCGGACCACTTATGTTTTGTAAAAGATGGAGAAAATGGTACTACAAGTACGTTGACCACATTGTTTTCAGGATTCTCCATCGGCAAGACCAAGGAAGAAAAAATCAAAGAAGACGACCCCGGAGAAATCCAATTAAAAGACGCTAGTGCTGATGAAGTGAAGCGTGACAATTAGGGCACTGGCTTGATTTGCTTCAACTGAAAGGAAACTTAAGCAAGAAATGTGTATATGCTAAGGGTATGAAGCAATGAAAATGAAATCTAGTTCATGTCTCTTTCACATCGGAAGAGTTAGATTTCGATTAGTGAGTGGATCAAGTCTGTTATCCATTTAAATTTCAGTGGTCCGCAAGAGATCCGAAGGTCAACTCCTTCAGTCTTTTTTGGGGTAAAAGTCATAGCAATCATTTTTGTAATATTTTTCCAACATATACAGTACACCACCACCTACACTCAACTTTAAAGCATACAAATTAGAGATAAGACTAAGTTACCAAAAAATAAAATAAAATTGATACAATTCAATCAGAAGAGTTTACAGCAAAATAAAGTTGATAAAAATCGATTATAATTTTTTCTCTTGCAATTTGACTCTAAAAACTAATAGCTTGAACACAATAAAATTATAATTTTTAGAATGGTACACATTGATACCATTGTCTTACCAATAATCAAAAGACTAATTTCTAACCAAAAACAAGTGCTTACTATTGGAGCTTTTGTCTCATTTGGTTCAGATCTTATATACCAGTAACTTCCTTGTTTAAGTAAACCTTAGTGGCTGGCCAATAGAACAAAACCTCAGAAATGTAGAGGGCCACAAATTAGAGAGGAGAGTGATCTTACCAAAGTCTAACTGGAACCCACTTCAAACTTCCCCTTTCTTTGAACATGTTGCTGTGAAAAGGTTTTAGATCAGATTGCAGCCACAAACTTTTCTGGACCACTACCACCTTCCATTGGTAACCTCGGAATGTTGATAAGGATAGAGATGATGGATTGCAGATTCAGTGGACAATTACCAAATTAAATGGAAAACCTTAATCAACTTCTTTATTTGAATTTGCGATACAATTCATTTAGTGGGAGTATTCCATCATGTATCATTTAGTGGGAGTATTCCATCATGTTGTTTTTTATGGGGTCTAGTTTGTATATGTAATCCGGATGATGACCCGACCCGAAGTAATGTTGTGTGATTTTTTAATGAAAAANAATCATGTTTTCTTTTATGGAGTCTAGTTTGTATATGTGATCCGGATGATGACCCGATCCGAAGTAATGTTGTGTGATTTTTTAATAAAAATTTTTTTGAGGCTTAGTCCATGGAGCGAAGGCTTGGGCCGATAGGCCCAAGCCGTAGTGCTCATGGACAAGCCTCGTGGGGGTTCAGGGGCAACGCCTCCNCATCATGTATCATTTAGTGGGAGTATTCCATCATGTTGTTTTTTATGGGGTCTAGTTTGTATATGTAATCCGGATGATGACCCGACCCGAAGTAATGTTGTGTGATTTTTTAATGAAAAATTTTTTGAGGCTTAGTCCATGGAGCGAAGGCTTGGGCCGATAGGCCCAAGCCGTAGTGCTCATGGACAAGCCTCGTGGGGGTTCAGGGGCAACGCCTCCGAGAAAATTTTTTTGGGCCCGTTATACAGCTCAGTGCGTAGGACATATAAACCCTGTTGTTTTGGTGATTAGGATTAATCGTGAATTGTACAGCCGCTCACTGTATTCAACTCTCTCAATAGTGAAATCCCTGCAGCNCGTGGGGGTTTAGGGACAACTCTCCCAAGGAAAATTTTTTTGGCCCGTTATACAGCCCAGTGTGTAGGACATATAAACCCCTGTTGTTTTGGTGATTAGGGTTAATCGTGGATTGTACAACCGCTCTCTGTATTCAACTCTCTCAATAGTAAAATCCCTGCAGCTTCGTGGACGTAGATAAATTGTCGAACCACGTAAAATCTGTGTCTTGTTCTTTCTTGTTTCTTATTGCTTTATATTCTTGATTTGTTCTTCGATTGTGTGTGTTTGTTAGTGGATTTAAATCGTGTTAAATCCCAACACATTATCTCTGTTTGCTCTCCCATTGTTGCAGAATCTTCAGCTTTCCAACAACCATTTCGATGGTCTGCTTGCTGATTTTCCCAATGCATCCTTGTCTCAGTTGGACACACTTGATTTGAGTAGCAACTATTTAAGTGGACCTATTCCCATGTCTCTTTTTGAACTCGGAAGGCTTAATATCCTCTCATTGTCATCCAACAACTTGAATGGCAGTATACAGCTTGAAATGTTTCGAAGGCTCAGTAATCTCACTTATCTCGATCGTTCATATAGCCGGTTATCAATTGATGCAAATGGAAGCAATTTTGACGTTCCTTCCTTTCCCAAGTTCTCCACGTTGCAATTGGCCTCTTGCAATCTCCAAAGGTTTCCTAAGCTAAAGAAACAATAAGGTCTGATCGACTTANCTTTGAACTCGGAAGGCTTAATATCCTCTCATTGTCATCCAACAACTTGAATGGCAGTATACAGCTTGAAATGTTTCAAAGGCTCAGTAATCTCACTTATCTCGATCGTTCATATAGCCGGTTATCAATTGATGCAAATGGAAGCAATTTTGACGTTCCTTCCTTTCCCAAGTTCTCCACGTTGCAATTGGCCTCTTGCAATCTCCAAAGGTTTCCTAAGCTAAAGAAACAATAAGGTCTGATCGACTTAGACCTCTCTAACAATCAAATTGGCGGTGAAATACCAAACTGGATCTGGGAAGTTGGCAATGGATGAATCTTTCTCATAACCTCTTAGTGGGTCTGCAAGAACCTTTTGTTATTCCTAGTATCAGTTTCCTTGACCTACATGCCAACCAACTCCGGGGGAAAATCCCAATACTGCCAAAATCATTTAATTATGTAGATTACTCTGGCAATAATTTCAACTCTTCAATCCTTGCTTATTTCTTTTATGTAGTGGCTTGTCTATTAGTGGGATTAAAAGGTATTTTTTAGTCCTTGGAATTAATGAAGTTAAATATAGTGAGACATCATTCTATTTGTTTTAGAGGTGGGTTATCATTCAATGCTTTTGGCAGTTATATGATTTAAATCCTTATCCGAGGAATTTATTTATTTGGTTGCTAGCTCTATACCATGTTATAACTGAAGACAATGACGACAGCCAATCAAGCTATGTGGTGTTTTATTTTAGTACAAATTGCTTTTGTTATTTGTGCAATCAAACTTTTAAAACTTGTAAAAGTAAAGGTCATGACAATTAACNCTGGGTTATCATTCAATGCTTTTGGCAGTTATATGATTTAAACCCTTATCCGAGGAATTTATTTATTTGGTTGCTAGCTCTATACCATGTTATAACTGAAGACAATGAAGAGATCCAACGAGTCTACAAGTAAAGCAACTGTGCGTGCAGGATCTTGCACAATATAAAAAACGAGAACAGATCTCTCTCTTGGTGAACTCGAGTGAGTTAGTTGAGTGATCAACCATGCTGCTTGGGACAGCCTGTGAGGTCCGGTGATAACCTGGAACGGTAACGAGAGACTCTCGTGAACTGAAGGAATGATCCAGTAAGGCTGGGAAAAGGTCCCTGAAACAAAGGAGGACAAGTTAGAAGGGCGCCGGAGTGTTTTTCGGCTTATCCCCTCCGACGATCAAGTCANTATCAGGTTAAAGGTGTTTTAATATTTCTGTAAAAAATACAAATGAGAGGTGTTCGAACTCTATTTTTTCACTGTACATTTCGAAATGAAAGGATTTCAATTTATACAGAAAAAGCCCCATGTATATTTGACAGTAAAAAATTTACAATACCAATCTTCGTAGTGATCCGTCGAGATCTGCAGACCAATCTTCATGACACTCGTGTGAAATATCTGTACAATCCACTCTTGTTTATAAACCGAAAAAGGTGCATTATCTCTACAATAATGGCATGATAGATATGGAAGAGAAAGGTCCGGAACATTGCTTGCAAAGGTATATGGAGTGGTTGAAATACTCTCACAATTTATGGTGTCCACTGTGTATTTGTTAGTGTTCTCGTCTCTATCATTTAGTGATGCGTTAACACATGTAAGTGCTTGTGCATGATGCTTGACTATATTTGTACCTTCATAGGCCAAGTGCGATANTAAGGCATGCGGTTTTTCTGTCTCTGATGTGACATAATTTGCCACGTGTCCATCCCTTATTGGCTGTGGACCCTGCCTTCCTGTTCCTTCTGACACCATTTGCGTAAGACGAGACCATGATAGCTAACCTAGACTAGCCTAAGCTAATGACCTGTACATCAATAGCTTATACTGGAGCAGAGAAAAAGGCATCTTGGACGGGGGTACATCTCGGTACCGAGGACATGCACATCTCGGTACCGAGGAANTAGCTAACCTAGACTAGCCTAGGCTAATGTCCTGTACATCAATAGCTTATACTGGAGCAGAGAAAAATACATCTTGGACGGGGGTACATCTCGGTACCGAGGACATGCACATCTCGGTACCGAGGAAAGGTACATCTCGAGCCGAGGGAAGCCGTACATGATGACCGAGGTACCATACCAGACTGAGGGATACGTGTTGGTACGTAAAACGTACTCGACACGTGTCAAGTACCTCAGGCGAGGGAGTTGTAAAGCCGACGGTACGTGATCTCTGTTAACAGGGTTTTCAGTGACGCCGAGGACACGTGTCTTCATCTTGGAGTATTTTCAGAAAAGTCCCATCAGCAACGTCGAGCCTTTCTCCTTTCAATCAATCTTGCAAGACTTCCAGAATATAGAGCCACAAAACCAGTGGCTGCTAGAATTACCACTTCCATATGGAATTATTAGTTCCAAGACTTGTGTATTCAATCCAAGTTTTACACNAGCCTTTGATCTTCTGACGCCGAGGACACGCGTCGTAAGGAGATGAAAGGTTTCCCAACAACCTCAACTACTTCATCATTGCCTCTAGCCGCTTTCCCTTGCTTAGGGAGTCGTGCGCATTAAATGCGCCCTTTCGTGTTTCGCGCCCAATGATGAGACCGGTACTATATAAATGGGCTTCCTCCCTCTTTTTCTCATTTCGTNTGCTTAGGGAGTCGTGCGCATTAAATGCGCCCTTTCGTGTTTCGCGCCCAATGATG